AGGTTCATTTTGTAAAGGTAATGTGCCTTAGTTCGACTTTCCGTTTTGATTCATGTTGATACATCGTATGTTATTTCAGACTCCATATGTATTTCAGTTTATTTTCAGTTGAGACATGACCTTTATTTATGAGATATCATCCTCTTTATCATGTCTATTATTATTGTTCTACTTCTTTGCCTGTTTTGTACCTATGCTTTTATTTGATCCTACTAGAGAATGTTATTGTGATTGGTAAAACTTGTTGTTGCACAGTGTGGATGCATGGCAGGTTTGACATCTCTGGGTTTACCTTGGACTGCAGTCATGTATGAAAACAGGGGCGTCACCGTTGGTATCAGAGCTCTAGTTCCAGTATCCTTAGGATCATCTTGTGTCGAGTCGTGGAGCTAGTATAGAGTTTCTTAGGATTCATGTATAGAGTCCGCTAGGAATTTCTCGAATGAGTGAGGACGATTTATACGTATATCTCAAAAATTATAAATTTTTTTATGACTATCATACTTTGATTGAAAAGTAAATGCATGAATAATAAGTGATACGATTTTTTTCTATTGGTATATGTTATGTTATTTATGATTGGGATCTCACTTATTGTGTCAAATAAGCTCTCCTCTTGGTATTATAAACATTAGAACGAGGATGTGGTCGAGGTAAAGTTTATACCCGGAGAGCTAGGCAAGTAGAGCCCGAGCCGTAGTAGGCTCCAAAGTATCTGATCGACTTGGTAATACCGATTACAGAAGCAGAGACTAGCAACACTCGAGGAGTGAGTAACAAGCCAAATTTTACTCTCTGAAGTTTCACCACCAGTTATACCAGCCGTACCTATTGGAGAGGTAATACCGAAGGTCTCACCATCGCCACATCCAGCTATTAATAGAATCGCAGAATAGGAAGCTTGGCTCGATAAGATTGAGGAAGATATTAGAAGTTGGGAGCAAAAAAATTTTAGGGCACATCAGATTCAGTTACAACCTATAAATGGAGGAAATATGTGGGAAATACTTTTAGATTTACTTAACGCCGACTCAGTACAGAAGCAGAGGCTGACAGCTTTTAGTCTGAAGGGTGATGCAGGAGGATGGTATAGGCTTCAGTTCACTCCGGATCATCGGATGACCCTCACTTGGGAGGATTTCGTGTATTTCTTCGACGAGCAGTACATCTCTTTCGCGGCATGGGCCGGGAAAGAGCGAGAGTTGTCTAAGCTAGAGCAGGAAGATATGTCTGTGGCTGACTTTGAGAGCCGATTTATAAGTCTTCTACGTTTCACGGGCATGTGGCAGTCAGGAGAGCGCCAGGCGCAGATGTTTCTTATGGGACTTCGCCCAAGTCTTCGTCATTACCTAGTTTCTAGAAGATTCCGTTCAGTCCGAGAGGTAGCAGATGTAGCTATATCGTAGGAGACAGAGACTGTGATGTTCCAGAAGAACAAGGAGGGCAACAACAAGTTTGGACAGCAGAATGACAAGGGCAAGGGCAAGAGACCTTTTGCCGGACTAGGAGGACCCCAGCAACGGGGTAAGGACTTTCATCACCATCAGCAGGGAAAGTTCAAGAAGGGAGCACAACATGACTCGAGAGCACCACCGTAGCGCAAGATTCAGGGTGCATGCTATAACTGCAACAAGATCGGGCATAAGACCAAGGACTGTCGCAGTGCGCCAGCAGGAGGCCAGCAGGGCAGAGGCCAGGGCCAGCAGCAGAATCGAGGACACGGTCAGCAGCAGAACCGTGGTCAGGGTCAGTATCAGCAGGGCCGCAGTTACGGCCAATAGCCGCAGCAGAGGATTGAGGCACCGCCAGCTATTCCTAGGATTGAGGGGCCAGTAGGCCAGATTCACGCAATTCAGGAGATTCCCGAGGGACAGATAGTCCCGTATACTCCACCATCGACAGTTCAGCAGTTGCCAGCCACTAGCAGAGTTTATGCAGGCATACCACATGATCATGGTGCGAGCGGAGCTATAATAAAAGGTACTTTCTTAGTAAACTCTTTTCAAGCTCGGATCTTGTTCGATTACGAAGCTTCCCATTCTTTTATATCTCATGCCTTCATGGATAGGCTCCAGTTAGTCGCACATCATTTAGATATTCCGTTGTCCGTCTCTACTCCCTTAGGAGAGGTATCTCTATTAGGGAACGTTTGTAGGAGATGTGTCATCAGCTTAGATGAGTCCGAGTTTATCATAGATTTGATCGTCTTGCGGATGTCAGATTTTGACGTCATTCTCGGTATGGATTTGTTATCATCCTACCATGTTAGTATTGACTGTTTTGTGAAAACAGTCAGTTTGTGAGCGTCCGATGGGTCTGAGTTGATCATAGCGATCTCACAGGGCAAGCAGTTTGCGGAGTCATTTCTGGCCTATATCGAGGAGGTGATGCTGAGAGATCGGAGTGCTGATTTGTACGAGACTAGGGTTGTCTCAGATTTTCTGGATGTCTTTCAAGACATACCGGGGCTACCTCCTGTGAGAGAGGTTGGGTTCTGCATCGAGTTACAGCCAGGCACAGTACCGATATCTCGAGCTCCTTATCGTATGGCACCTGCTGAGATGAGGGAGCTACAGACTCAGCTGGACGAGTTGTTATCTCAGGGTTTTATTCACCGGAGTCATTCTCCATGGGGGCGCCGATCCTTTTCGTGAAGAAGAAGGATGGCAGTATGCGTCTTTGTATAGATTATCGAGAGTTGAACAAGGTCACTATCTGGAATAGGTATCCGTTACCGAGGATTGATGACTTGTTCGACCAGCTTCAGGGAGCACAGCACTTCTCGAAGATTGATCTTCGTTCTGGCTATCATCAGTTGCGGGTTCGGGAGATGGATATTCCCAAGACCGCCTTTCTAACTCGTTATGGGTCCTTTGAGTTTCTTATCATGCTATTTGGGCTAACCAATGCACCTATGGTATTCATGAATTTGATGAATTGGGTTTTCCGTCCATACTTGGACCAGTTCATGATAGTATTCATCGACGACATTATGATCTATTCGAGGTCGGAGGCAGAGCACGAGCAGCACCTTTAATTAGCATTGCAGACTTTACGGGAGTACCAGCTATATGCCAAATTTAGCAAGTGCGAGTTTTGGCTATCTGAGGTCAGATTTTTAGGCCACGTCATCAGCAGAGAGGGCATTGCAGTGGATCCAGCTAAAGTTACGACAGTACTTGATTGGGAGCTGCCGACGATAGTTACCGAGATCCGTAGCTTTTTGGGTTTGGCTGGCTATTACAGGAAGTTTATTCAGGACTTCTCAAAAATAGCCACACCACTTACACGCCTTACGAAAAAAGGTGTACCTTTTGTTTGGAGCACGGAGTGCCAGGAGGCCTTTGAGACTTTGAAGGCTAAGTTGACTACAGCGCCAGTTTTAACCATTCCTAGCAGTGATAAGACCTTCGTAGTCTATACAGATGCGTCGTTAGCGGGTCTAGGAGGTGTTTTGATGCAGACCCAGAGGGTAGTAGCATATATTTCGCGTCAGTTGAGAACGCATGAACAAAACTATCCCACACATGACTTGGAGCTAGCAGCAGTGGTCTTCGCATTGAAGACATGGAGACACTACCTGTACGGGGTACAGTTTGAACTATTCACAAATCATCAGAGCTTGAAGTACATCTTCTCTCAGAAGGAACTAAATCAGAGACAGCGACGATGGGTTGAGTTCATTAAGGATTATGAGTTTGCGATTCAGTATCACCCGGGGAAGGCGAATGTCGTAGCAGACGCATTACGTAGGAAGCGTCGTCACAGGATTGCAGCTTTGAGATGTTCGTTTTATCGAGATCTCCACACACTTAGCCAGTTCGACTTTAGACCGGAGATTGGCAGAAGCAGCGTATTTTTGGGAGCTTTATCCGTACAGCCACCTTGGAGTGATAGAGTGGTCAGAACTCAGTTGGACGACTCTTGGATTCAAGCCCGAAAGGAGGAGATTTCCAAAGAGCCAAAGACTGATTGGACCATTGGAGCAGATGGAGGACTTCGGATGAAGGGCCGATTAGTAATGCCAGCTAATCCTCAGCTAAAGAAGGATTTATTCGATGAAGCACATCGTACCAGGTATACAGTGCATCCAGGTACAACGAAGATGTACAAGGATCTGAAGAAACATTTTTGGTGGAGCGACATGCGTAGAGAGATTGCAGAATATGTAGCTAAGTGCTTTACCTGCCAGCAAGTGAAGACAGAACATCAAAGATCGGCAGGAACCCTACAGCCTTTACCCATTCCGGAGTGGAAGTGGACAGATATTTCTATGGACTTCATTGTAGGATTGCCGAGATCGAAGAAGGGGAATGATTCAGTTTGGGTGGTAGTAGATCGGTTGACAAAGTCAGCATATTTCATACTAGTAAAGACAACATACACGGCAGAGACATATGCATGGATATTTATTCAGGAGATCGTGAGATTACATGTAGTCCCAGAGACGATTGTGTCAGATCGAGGCTCAGTTTTTACTTCACATTTTTGGAGAAGCTTCCAGAACTCTTTCGGCAGCAGATTATCTTATTCTAGTGTGTTTCACCCGTAGACGGATGGGCAGACGGAAATTCCAGAACTCTTTCGGCAGCAGATTATCTTATTCTAGTGTGTTTCACCCGCAGACAGATGGGCAGATGGAAAGAGTGAACCAAATATTGGAGGACATGTTGCGAGCATGTGTCATTGATTTTCAGGGTAACTGGGAGGACCACATCCCATTAATCGAATTCGCTTATGATAATAGCTACCAAGCGACTATTGGGATGGTACCGTATAAAACATTGTACGAGAGGCCTTGTAGATCACCTATTTGTTGGGCAGAACCAGAGGACAGCCTATTGCTTGGACCAGAGCTTGTGAGGCAAACTACAGAGAAGGTAGCAGTCATTCGAAAGCGCATCCTTGCAGCGCAGAGTCGTCAGAAGAGTTATGCAGATCATAGACGACGACCGTTAGAGTTCCAAGTTAGGGACTATGTGTTATTGAAAATATCACCAATGAAGGGAGTTCAGCATTTTGGCAGACGAGGAAAACTTGCCCCGAGGTATATTGGACCATTCCTGATTATTGAGCATATTAGAGCTGTTTCATATCGGCTAGACCTACCAGCATCCATGTCGAGCATACACGATGTTTTTCATGTTTCGATGCTTAAGAAGCACCTACGCGACGAGGAGGAGCAGCAAGTATTAGACGCACCAGAGATCGAGATTCAGGAGGATCTGACTACTATTGAAATTCCTATATGTATTCTTGCCAAGGAGGACAAGAAGTTGAGAAACAAGTTGATACCTTTAGTTAAAGTTCAGTGGAATCGGAGAGGAGCTGAGGAGGTTTCTTGGGAACGCGAAGAGGATATACGTCGCGACTATCCACACCTGTTTGAGCAGGTAAATTAAATTTAGTATGACTTGTTTGTGATTTATGGCTACCTGTATTGTAATGTTTATACTTAACGCTAAAATGATGGTATTAACACTTAACTCCTAAGTACTCGGAACATATGATATATATATGAGGGGTTCCTTGTTTGGATTTTTCGCTCGATGTACTTGTTCCATTTAGTTATGGGTTAAGTGGGGGTATTTGCATTTTAGACTGTTAAGTATAGACATTGAGGATGATTCTCGGGAGCGCGAAGATGTTATGCATCGCGACTACCTGCACCTATTGAGAAGGTGAATTGATTTATGTATGTAATTATTTGTATGGTTATATTTACATTTAACGCTAGAATGGAGGTATTGACACTTAACTTCTAATCATTCTGAACACATGGTATATATATATGGGGGATTCCTTATCTGGTCCCTCAATGTGCTTTTCTAGCATTATTAATCTCTAAGATACGAATGCGGAATTTTGGGGACGAAATTCTTTTAAGGGGGGAAGAATGTAAAACCCCGTAATTTTGAATGATTATGAAATATAATAATAAAAATAGTATATTATGATAAATAACATTTATTGATATTTTAGTATGTTAGGAATTGATTTGAGATCAATTCGGTACATATATATGAATATATGAGTGCAAATGCACAAAACATGCACGAGAAAAATCTGGGGAAAATGACTAGTTAAGAGTTTATAGATTTTACACAATGATATACTTAGAGTCTGGAAAAACTCAAAATACCAAAGTTATAGGTCTTTTCAATATATTTCCAACAAATCTTAGATCACCTTATTCTGAGATTGGACGTGAATGTTATGATCAAAATACCGAAGGTCATTTTCCTAGTCAGATTAGGATTCCTGGTTCGGGTCAAACGGGTTTAGTTCGGGTTTGCATAAATATAAACATGTGTTTTTATGAAAATTAACATCCTTACATCAGAGTTTCAAACTCTAGCAGCCCCTCTTCCTCTCTCTGAATCCTTAACCCTAAAGTTAAGAATTTTGAGAGCTTTGTGAAGCAAATATCGACACGAGGGCGAGATCATCGACGTGTAACGAGGGAGAACGGGTGGTTTGTGCTCATGGATTGCTTGCTGTTTATTTCAGAGGCTTGCATATGAGATTAAGGCAGGATTATCTTCATCCAAACCTATCCCCATAGTTAAATAACTAGTGTAGATGATTAATATGATGTTGAATATGTGTTTTCATGCTTTAATCTTAATATGATGTGATAAAAGTTAAATTTTTGATGTTAAAATATAAACCAATGCTAGATTAGTAATTTTTTTCTTGTTGTTTATGATAGTATCATGATCATAATCATTAGGGTTTTTCATAATTTCATTTATATATGAGAAATTTAAGAGATGTACTAAATAAATATTTTCTGCAGAAAACTATAGCAATTATATCATGTATAACTGAGATTTCAAAATAGAAAATAAACTCCAAATTTAACCAAACTAGTACCAAATAAAAGATATATGTATCTAGTTTCTAAAACAGAAGACTAATCTTAAAAATCATTTGTATAGAGAAAGATATGATCTTTTTACTAACAACATGTCCTGTAGAAAAACGGCTGCACATATATAATGTTTAACTAGAGATTTGGGATAACAAATGAACTCCAAACTGAACTAAACTTATGTCATTTGAAAGATGTGTGAATCTAGTTTTCAAAACAGAAAACCATTTATAAAAATCGTTTTCCTAGAGAAAAATATGCTTGTTTTACTAACAGATATCATGTCTGTTTTTCCTGCTCGTTTTGTGGAGTTGTGTTGCGTCGTTTTGAGGTGCGTTCGCGAAGTTTTGAGCCGCTTGATGTTATACGTATAGTCATGAATATGTTATGTTATACATTTAAGAATCCCAAGGGGATTATGATAAATTTTGATTTGATCGTATTTGAATTAGATATAGTTCATATACATGTTGGATGTCGTTGATGAGCACAGCTTAGTACTATATGGGATAGTGCGTCGACACACCAGATATACACGGTTTATACATGAGGTAACTATCATTGATGAGCATAGCTCAATATTATATGAGATAGTGCATCGACATGCCAGAGGTACAAAGATTTATATGAGGTGGATATCGTTAATGAGCTCAGTTCAATACTACATGAGGTAGTGTGTCGATATTCCACATGTACAGGCCATTGAGTCAGATTTTAGGAGGCTTGATCTAGCCGTCCATCCCGCACTAGGGTGCGATGAGGCTCGTGAGCCGTATTTCTAGGATGCCTATTTGATAGTCCGTCACGTACTCATGTTATGTACTGAGATCGCGATGAGGCTAATGAGCCGTGTACACAGTTCAGGATACCTATAGGGTAGTCCGTCGTACTGAGACAATTACTTGATAGCCTAAGTATGGCAGATGCCGATTATGAATACGACCTATCATTGAACTATATAACTGAGATACGTTACTTTTGAAAGTATACAAAATTATGTGTTGGTATTTTATTCTATCTCTCCAGTGATTGTGGAAGATATTATAAATACGATGTGTTGATATCTTATTTCTTTACTGTCTTTTTTTTTCTTAGTTGGGATCAATGATTAGAGATTCACAATTTGAGACTTATGGTATATACATGAGGGTTTCCTTGTTTGGATTATTTCGCTCGACGTACCAGTCTCGTGTTATAGATCTCTAATTATTGGTTTTATTAGATGGTTTATTCTTATTTCGGTATTAATGTTTAGATGTTTACGATTCGGGACATATGGTATATACATGAGGGTTTCCTTGTTTGGATTATTTCGCTCGACGTACTACGTCTCATTTTGTAGGTGTCTGAATATTAATTTCGCTAGATACAGGGAAAATGATATAGGTAGACTATGCTTAATAGATAGAGCCTCCACTCCATCCTAGCAGCCCTTCCCCCGGGGGCGGATGGGGGTAATCTTGTTGTAGCGTTCTGACGCTCTTGTTGTTGTTTTTTTTTCTTTTAAAAATACCCTTTCAGGTAGCTCGGAGTTCCGGAGAGCCGCATGATGATGGAGTTCTTGCATAGTCGCCGTCCCGAGAGATTTATTAGAGGCTCTACTGTAGTTTTAAATTTTATTCAGACTTAGAGTTTAGTTTCATTTTGTAAAGGCAATGTGCCTTAGTTCGACTTTCCGTTTTGATTCATGTTGAGACATCGTATGTTATTTCAGACTCCATATGTATTTCAGTTTATTTTCAGTTGAGACATGACCTTTATTTATGAGATATCATCCTCTTTATCATGTCTATTATTATTGTTCTACTTCTTTGCCTGTTTTGTACCTACGCTTTTATTTGATCCAACTAGAGGATATTACTGTGATTGGTGAAACTTGTTGTTACACAGTGTGGGTGCATGGCAGGTTTGACATCTCTGGGTTCACCTTGGACTGCAGCCATGTGTGAAAACAGGGGCGTCACACATTACCCATGTGAATGTAGTCCCACATTTGAATGAGTGGAGGGAGATGTAACATATTACTACCAAGCATAACTTTTTGTGCTTGATAACAAGCATACCCATATTTCTCTCTCTCTCTCTCTCTCTCTCTCTCTCTCAATAATATATATTATATTATATATATATAGTATTATTAGTATACTAATTATGGATATATATATATATATATGCGCTTTAACTTCTTTACATTATATATATATTGAGAAAGATATGGGTATACTTTGGCTACCAAGGATCCTTAGTAGGTGATGTGACACATCTTGTCATACATCCACACCTGAAGATGGGAGCACTCACCATTTCAAGGTGTGATGTTGGATGTGAGCAAGGATGGTGTCCACAATCATACCAAGATCCTTGGCCCAAGTCATACCCATATTCCCTCTCTTCTCATCTCTCTCTCTCTCTTCGATATATCATAATTAAGTATAACTATATATATATTAAACGTAGTATATATAAGCTATTAATTGAAGATATATATAAATATATATATATGATAGTATATAGTAATATATAGAGCAAACTTCCTTATCAACTTAAGTTGATGGTTCCCAAAGTTTCTAGCCACACATATATTAACTATAAAACACCTTTTTATTTATAATACGATGGATCCTAGGCATATGAGCTGGGCTTTAAAAAATCTTGGTGGACATACTATTTACTATCCACTTAAGTAATAATAATTTTAGGATATATAGAATATATATATGAATATAATTATAGAAGTTATATATATAGTATATATATTGAGGTGTATTAGAATCGCAAGCCGCAGCACCACTTGGTATTTGGCCTACGCAATCGCCTCACTGCTCCTTGAACTGTGCAGTATTGCATCAAAAAGCCTCGTTGCGATCCAATTCCCTTTTGGACCTTTGGACTGAATAAGTGTTGTTTCTCTCTCTCTCTTTCTCTCTAATACTAACACCTTCCATACTATATATAAAAGAAAAGCCACTTTTTTTTGTTTAAGTATCATTTTTTTCAGAAATACTAAAAGTTCCGTCACATTTCAAAATTATAAAAGAAACACTTTCACAGTCGTAAAAGACAACTAAAATGCCCAACACTTGAGAATCAACACAAATGCTACCATTTTCACAAAAGCCATTTCAAAATGCCATCATATTTTTTTGTTATGCACGCATCACGTGCCCCAGAATACTAGTATATAATAATAAAACAAGGAGCCAGAGAAAGAAACTCGGAGAGGGGGAAAACTCATACTTTTCTTTATTATAAAAATTTATTAATAATCAATAGCATATATAATTCTCAAATCAGAATTATGCTCTGCCTAGATTAAACAGTATCTCAAATCGAATTAATCCTGATTTTGTTCAACTTTCCCCCATTTTATATAAAGAATTTAAGGAGGCGTTCCTTATCACAGATAGTGTTCATGCCTTAAATGTCCTCCCACGCATTTCTTTAAGTTCCTTACGCGTTCAGAATATTTGTTCACCAGCACAGATGCAAATCCCATTAATTGCAACTACTTAGCAAAGAAAAACTAATACAAAGTGGATAACAATTTTAGCTTCGTGGACACAAAATTAGCAACAATACCTCACACTTCAGAACATAATTCTCTGTCATAGCAACATATGCTTAAAGAATCCCAAACCATTCTCTTCAGTTCAGTTTTATACGAAGATACATAGATAGATGCGCCTAGCTCATGTGTAGGATTGGAAGAGAGGCACGGCAGTCTTGGAGTCCAGGCCGAATTTCCCGGCGTAAAAAGTCTCATTCCAGCAGGATCTGAGGCTGTGGATTTTCCATCACGCGGAGCAACGAGATCATAAGGTGAATCCTCACCAAACTCAGTTGGCAACGACTTCCAGTGCAAAGATGGCTGCCAGTCAGCTCCTTTCAGCACCTTCAGCATCTCCTCCACAACGATGTTGCTCCCTTCAGAGGAAAAATGTACCCCATCACTGAAATGGAACCTTTTGTCATTGCACAGATCGAGAAAAAACAAGGGATATTGATGGACATACAGGATGCAAGTAATCAACAAGAAACACAATGCAGAATGGTTTCATCATTTTTTTAACAAGAATATTAAGCACTCTTGTCAGATTGGGAATTTTTAGAATTCTTGCACACAGACTCACGTAAAGCAAGAAGTAGCCCAGTCCTCCCTCTTCTGTATTGCAGTCCATAGGTCAATAGCCTTCACGCCCATCTCCTCGCATAGTTCTATACATGCTTCTGAATATTGACGGCAGATCTCATTTGTTCTGACCAACGGACTCAGCGCATCACTAAATCGAAATGCATAAGAGATGTAATTAGGACTAGAATATCAAGACTACAACCACGATAGCGTAATTGAAGCACCTTGTTCGCTCGCGAAGCATTTCCTCATTGACCGGAGGGCAGCTAAGAAAAATAATACGCGTTCTTTCTGAGAGGCTCTGAAAATTAAGTAATGGTGATCCATCAAAATGCACAACAAAGCACCTCCAATAAATGTATGCTTTCTATGACCATTGCTAAGTGATACCTTCAGATGATTCGCGATCTTTCTCAAGTTCTCAATGTATTCAGGAAGTGGAACATGAGGGCCTAGGCCAGATGGGTGAGCTCCCATTGAATCGTTACCACCAAAATAAACTACCACAAGAGAAGGTTGGACCGGTGCATCCTAGACAACATTCATGAAAGTAAGTTAACTAAGATAGGTATCCACTTGAAACATGATCTTCTTAGCAAAGCTTCAACAAATGAGAGCCCCGACATGAAAGCAGGGCCTAGGCTAACCTAGGGGCGCATAACGACGAACATGCTTGAATTTTAAATTTAATATAGTCAAGATTTGAGTGTGAATTATCTGTCAGATTCAAATATAAGTTTGGTTAGCTAGCGTTTTTTTTAGTTTATGTTTGTTTTCTTTTCAATTAGTTATTTCTTCCCCCAATTGATTAATTTTTTATTTTTATTTTTTTGTTAGCTAGATCTTTTAGATTAGGATTAGGTCTTATCTAATGTTTTGTATTTAAACCCCTACTTATGTTTTGTATTTTAACCCAGGGGCACATAACTAAGAACGTGCTTGAATTTTAAATTTAATTTAGTCAAGATTTGAGTGTGAATTATCTGTCAGATTCAAATATAAGTTTGGTTAATTAGCGATTTTTAGTTTATGTTTGTTTCTTTTTCCCCTCATTAGTTATGTCTTCCACCAATTAATTAATTAATTTTTTATATTTATTTTTTTGTTAGCTAGATCTTTTAGATTAGGATTAGGTCTTATCTAATGTTTTGTATTTAAACCCCTAATTATGTATTAAGTTATGTGAGTTGTAATCAATTCTTCATGAGTATGGAAGTAAAATTTGCTTCTTTGGAGACTATCAGTTATATCTTCCCACACATTTTTCCTTTGGAGATTTATTGTAGTTCCCTTCCTCTAATAGCCCACAATAACTATGATCTTCACTCCTCTAAAGGCATTCTCTCATGTAATTTTGCATATTTCCGAACCATCACAATCGATTTTCTGCATCTATTAACTTCTGTAGATTTACCAGTTTCTCATCCATCTTCTAGGGTATTACCGATTGTTCATTTCAGCAAATGAAATGTCTTGTCTCTTAATAGTTAACATTCATACTCCATAAGCATGGTTGGGTAAACAATGGGGTTTAAGATCTTCCATTAGATCATTTTTACGATGATAGCGATTGCTTGATCCAGAACAAAGAGATCGCTTCAAGGCAACTACTATCAATCAACTTCCACGGTTCCACCATACCCTCATTTCTTCATATGTTTGACGCAGTTACATTTCATAAATCCTACTATTCATATAACAGTTTCTAAACTGCTTATATTCCTAAAGGCTCTCGGCCATTTTACTTCAAAATTTTTGTGTCACATCAACAAATGGCATGCATCATCAGGCTTCATCTTGAATATGATATGAAATTATCCATAACAAAAAAAAGTGGTAACAGAATTATGCCAAAAAAATGTTTATTTTGAAAAAGTAGGTTTATTACTAGAGTTATTATTTACCAAGGGTTGCATCTACTGATAATTGTATCCGTTGGAATTTAAATAAACATATCTTTTCACATAAAAAGATGCACACTAAGTCCTTTCAACTTCTATTAGGAAGTGATATGGTTAAAGATGATTAGAACTCATTCCAAAGGATATAAAACAAGGAAAAACAATGTATAGTTATATCATAAAGCATTATAGATTCATTTGAAAATGCATCATTATTGTTTGAAAAATCCAAAGTTACTGTTTGCAATTCATTAATCAGAAAACCTCTTGTTTTTTCATCTGATTCCCAAAATACAGTTTAAAACTATAGTTATGTACCGGGTAAGGGCTGAAACGAAACCGATCTATGTTCAATGAGTTTCAAGAAGTGTATATGAAGAATATAATCTACATCCCAAAAGTGTATGACAAGCGATTTAATTTAAATCATGTATTATATAATTGAGTATGCATTTGCATAAGTGTATGCATATATCCAAGAAAGTGTCGGCCTCTGGTATGGGTACGAAACGGGTACCGCTTCATGATAGTAAGTACCCATGCTACTAACTACTGCTTAAACTGATCTCTCTATCCAGTGTACTGAATTGAAGGATGTTTGTTATATTCTCGCATCATACAAGTTAATGTGTTTTCATGCTTTATATTGTGTTCTTTTACCTTTGCTTAAGTAAATAGATAGTGGATGTAAAGAGAAGCTAAATCCTTTCTCGCAGTCATCTACTAAGTACATAAATGGTTATGATATATTAGTAATAATTTCACAATTTTGGATAGTTGGGAGGATCCACATCCTTTTACAAAGTTAAGTTGATCTTATCATGAACTCCCTTGAAAAATATGTTCAGGAAAAGGGGTAGGTCTATGGAATTCAAATTTGAAGCGTTGATAAACAGTATATTTTCTGTCGTGATACTATGTTTTTATTCTCTTATATAATTATTGACTCTTATGCTTTCTGGCAGTTACCCTCTTTTATGTAGAATAGAATTTTATGTGGAAGCATGCACTATTTTACTTGCTAACAGCAAATAACTCAGTGGAACATTTCAAGTAATAGCAAATGAATATCTCTGGAAATGGCGCAACTTGGACATGGGTGATTACGTGCTCGATGTTTCCAGTGTACGCAAAACATATGATGTCACAAACATGATCTTCAAAGGTAAATATGTAATTTCAACAATAACAGTAGGCCATGCTTCGTACGGTTTAAATACTAGTAACGTCCCAGAAGTGTATGACGAGCGGTTTAATTTAAATCATGTATTATATAATTGAGTACGCATTTGAATAAGTGTATGCATATATCCAAGTAAGTGTCGGTCTCTGGTATGGGTACAAAACGGGTGCTGCTTCATGACAGAAGTACCCATGCTACTAACTTCTGCTTAAACTGATCTCTTTATGAAGAAACCGTGAAGAAGTTTGGTGAAGAACATGTGTTAGGATCCGCAGGAGTCGGTTTGGGAGCTACGCGGTAAACAGCGACGCAAGGCCGGTCGACCGCGAACGTGCACAGACCCTAGGAGGAGTCTGGATTTGGCGCGGTCGACCGCTTTGGTCGACCGCCAGACCCTATAGGAGTTTCCAGGTTCTGTTTGTTGGTCGCGATCGACCGTGGCGGTCGACCGCGTAACAGGTCAGGCCCAGTTTGAGTTTCCTGGCCTGATTTGGATTTTGGTGTTTGTATAAATACTAATATACGTTCTAGGATTTCAAAAGGTTAGAGTTTGGGATATTTAGAGCACAGAAAAGAGGTATTTTCTGAGCTATTTGTTTAGGGTTTATTTGAAAAGATTAAGAGCTTTGTGGTGAGATTAATTTGTTTATTCGAGTGATTTGTAATCTCAATTTGTATTCTTATTCTCTATTAGTAAAAAAACTCATCCCCTTCTTGCCCCGTGGACGTAGGCAATTGCCGAACCACGTTAAAACTGGTGTTTGGTATTTGTGCATTGATTTTGGTTGGATTTTGCCTTCTTTGATCGGCGGTTGGTTTGGTTCCTCGACACGGGTTTTTCCCAACAATTGGTATCAGAGCTCGGGCTACGCTTAGGCTATTTAAAAGAGTAGATCAATTTGGAAGCTCGTCTAGAATTTTAGTTGGTAATAAAGGTGGGATCTTTTTGGTAAAGACTCTTATCTTTTTTAAGTTTGGATCTATTTCTTGTTCGTTTCCGCAATTGTTTGTTGGTGTGTTGAGAATTATGGCCGGGAAAAAAGGTGTTGAGGGTGGTTCTTCAGACGTGAAGACTGTCCAAAGTTTGAATATCCACTCGATGAAGATTAACGTGGAGAAGTTCAATGGCACTAACAATTTTAGACTTTGGCGATGCGAAGTCTTAGATGCGCTCAATGCACAGAATTTGGAAGATACGTTAGAGTTGGACGGGAAATCAGACAACATTGATGAGAAGGTTTGGAAGAAAATAAATAGAACGACGTGTGGTGTGATTAGGTCTTGTCTCACTCAAGATCTAAAATATGATGTGATGAATAAGACTTCGACGAAGAAGATTTAGGAGGTCCTAGAGAGCAAGTACTTGACGAAGAGCATCAAAAATCGCTTGTATTTGAAGAGAAGGCTTTATCGCTTCTAATTGAAGAAAGAGACATCCATTGGTGATTACATGAACCACTATACGAAGCTTCTTGCAGATTTGACGAATGTAGATGTTATTGTTGAAGATGAGGACAAGACGTTGCTATTATCGAGTTCCTTGTCCGACGAGAAATATGAGACATTCGTTCTTACTCTTATTAATGGAAAGGCATCTCTTTTATATAGTGAGGTCACCGCTGTACTTGTGAATTACCAACTTAGGAAGAATGATAAGGAAACTTCTATTGAGCCGGTAGCAGGGGCATTAGTTGCAAGAGCAAAGAGTCCAAACCGAGGTAGAAGGTCGTAGTCTAGAAGGGCACATCTTGAAATTCGTAGGAATCAGTGTGTTTTTTGTAAAGAAGATAGACATTGAAAAGCTGAATGCCCAAAATTGAATGATCGAGCTGAGAAGAATAAGGGGAAAGCGATTGAAGCTTCAGAGGTGAATGTTGCCAAGGCTAGTGGCAATATTTCAGATTCAGATTCTTCGGGCTATTCGTGCCCAGCACTTTCGTCAGTTTGTGTTACTAACTCCACTGAGTGGATGTTTGATTCAGGTGCCTAATACCATATTTATCCTAGGAGGGATTAGTTCTCCAGCTTTCAGGAGTTGGAAAGAGAGGATGTTGTGCTCATGAGTAATAATCACAAATGTCCTATTGATGGTATCGGTACCGTTCGTATTCAGATAAGTGACGGGATGATTCGGGAGTTGGTTGAAGTAAGGTTCGTTCCTCAATTGAAGAAGAACATTATTTTACTTGGAGTTTTTGAGGCAGCAAGCTATAAGGTAACATTGGTGGATGCACGTTTGAAGGTTACATTTTGATTCATAATTGTGATGAAGGACGTCAGAAGAAGTAACTTGTACTATTTGCTTGGGAGCACGATGATTGATAGAACACTGACGACTTCATTGGATTTGGTTAGACTGTGGCGTTGTTTGACCCTGGGGTATTTGATTGGCGATGCCGTGCATAGGTTGTTGAGTTGACCTGCAAATGAAAATCCTTTGAGCATATTGGGATAAGCGAGAAGACCGTGGTGGAGTTTGGCACTTCTATCCATCGATCGAGGGGTCTTTTAGGAGGTGTTCAGTCATGCATTTGGGGGCCTTTCAAGAAGACATCATTGGGATGTAATCGTTTTTTGGTTGCTGTAATTGGGGATTGTACTAGAGATTTATGGTTCGCAACCAAGCCCCGTTGGTTTGAAGTCCTAGTAGTCCGTAACAGTTAGTAGAAGTGTGTTGGCAAAAAGGTTATCTGTCGTACTAGCTCGAGTATGGGTTTCTTCTTGTATTTGTGCCGAGCTCATGGTAGTTGAAGACACTTCATTGGAGAGGAGACATTGAGGCGACGATATAAGATGACAGATTTGATGAGCTGTTCCTTTTTGGAAGAGGATCGATGTTGGTTGTCGAGTATTGGACTTGGTATTCGGGCTTCGACACGTTTGGATCATCTTATACATAGATTGTTGACTGCTGTATTTAGTGATTTTGAATCTGGTGGAGCTGCTTCAAATTTTGGTTGGCGTCGGATATTTGATTACCTAGCATTTGGTCACGTCAAGAATGTGAAATTTAATCCGATTGCGCGTTTAGGATTCAGAGACTCGTTTGGCTATCATTTGGGAGCTTCTGATTTCTTTCTGAGCAGGTATGTCACATTGGACTCTCGGCAGGTGGAGAGTGTTGATCAGATCAGTTGGATATTACAGTAGGTGGAGGGTGATGCTACTTCACATTGGGTGGATATTACTCCACATACTCCAGGTCATTCTGTATTATTTGGGACTTTAGCTGAGGTGACACAGCATAGGGGTCATTCGGTTTCGGATGTAGATGACGTGTTGATTGTTTTGAGTGTAGCTGATAGGCGTAGTTTGGATTTGGCCCTTGGTTCACCTCAGGCAGAGGTGTTTGGATCGCTTCAGTTTGAGGTCATTGGAGGTGCTATCAGTCACAGATTTGGTGATGATGGTGGAGGGTTGCATGCTCTTCTATTGGATTAAGGGCCTTTGGAGGCCATTGGGTTAACCACGTGAAGGCTTGATTCCTTGGGCAAGAGGATACGTAGGTAGTCAATTTTGATGCAGCCGATTTGGTAAGAGACATCGACGTTTGGGTAAGTGTTCGCACTCCCGTTTGGGTCTCGACTTGTTGTGGATTGAGTCCGTTATCGTGAATAGTTTCACTTCGTACTGGACGCAACAAGTGAGGCATTTGGTTTGGTTAGTGTCGGTTCAGTTTTGAAAGAAATTTCACCGAGGTAGAGAATTGAAGAAACTGTGAAGAAGTTTGGTGAAGAACAAGTGTTGGGATCCGCAGGAGTCAGTTTGGGAGCTGTGCGGTTGACCGTGACGCAAGACCGGTCGACCGCGAACGTGCACAGACTCTGGGAGGAGTCTGGATTTGGCATGGTCGACCGCCTCGGTCGACCGCTAGACCCTGTAGGAGTTTCCAGGTTCTGTTTGTTGGTCGCGGTCGATCGTGACGGTCGACCGCGTAACAGGTCAGGCCCAGTTTGAGTTTCCTGTTCTGATTTGGATTTTGGTGTTTGTATAAATACCAATATACGTTTTAGGGTTTCAAAATGTTAGAGTTTAGGATATTTGGAGCACAGAAAAGAGGTATTTTCTGAGCTATTTGTTTAGGGTTTATTTGGAGAGATTAAGTGTGAATACACAAATCTGTCCAGATTCGAGTAGGGTACTTTGACTGACCATAACTCCCTCAATACTGCTTTTTTTCCTATGATTCAAAGCTTGGAGTATACTATACATGCACCTCTACAACTTTCATGTAGATTTTTGAGCTAAATAATGACTGCATCATACCCGAAAAGACCATGCAAAATTATATCTGCATGCAGAAAAACTGCAGCAATAAATGAGTTGGAAATTGAGCCAACTCCAACACATTGATGATGGTAACTGCATGTTTTACCCTTTAAAACAATAAATGAAGAAATTGAGCATCGAAGCAATGCCCTAGTTTTAATTGGTTAAGCAATTTTAGTTATTTGAGTTGATTAGAGCTTTGTGGTGAGATTAGTTTGTTCCTTCGAGTGATTTGTAATCTCAATTTGTACTCTTATTCTCTATTAGTGAAAAACCACATCCTCTTCTTGCCCCGTGGACGTAAGCAATTGCCGAACCACGTTAAAACTGGTGTTTGGTGTTTGTGCATTGATTTTGGTTGGATTTTGCTTTCTTTGATCGACGGTTGGTTTGGTTCCTCAACACGGGTTTTCCCCAACACTCTATACATTCATCAAGACATTATGAGATAAGGCATCTTGTAAACAGACCAGTGATGATAACTGTATTCCAAAGCATGAATTTGGTATTTATGTGTGGATTTACGTATGTCCCTCCATGAACACAAGGATGTATATGTATTATTGTATCATTGTATGTTATGATTATGTCTATAGGTGGGTCTAGACTAGTCCTATTATTGCGAAGATATTTATTATATTCTCATTCAATTACGGTTAGCCAGGTATCTAAATATATACATGTTCTCTATATACCACGGGCAATACTACATTTTCTTCTAAGTTGCACCAGAGTAAAGAGTATTTAGCATAGAAAAAAAACAACCTTGCACTCTCTTAAAATCAAGATAATTTTTGAAATCTAGATAGGAGTGTCTTGCATGGATAATATATTACTATGTACTATTTGGCAGAATAAACTCATCGAATTACTTGCTGACTGTAATCAATCATGTTTTCAGTAATCACTACTAAATAAAAGATGAATATAGGCTGAGAAATTATGTTTAAATGGAGTGATGGAAACAAGGTAGAGAATTGAAGCGTAAGATCTTGTTAAGCTTCCACTAATGAGTTAAGGTTAAATTTGAAAAAAATTATTATTGTGAAACCAATACACCATAAGTTTAGATTTTGGGACTGTTCAAATGAATCAAAAGTATCCAATAAAAAAATTAAAAAAGAAGTACATACCTTAGGAAAAATTTTGTCAATAACTTGAATGGCACGTCTTGAGTTCCAGCCAGCATATCCTCGCAACAAAATGTCAGCCTGTTAAAGTATCCATTAAGTGCTGGACTTCTGAAAAAACTTAAATGCTAAAACAGGAAGTTAAGATTAGAATGACAAATACATTGACAGAAACTCAAACCATGAAATTAAGAAAGAAAATATGATAAGATACAATTAAAAAAATATATAAACTTATTAGAACAAATTTACTCATTTTTCTTCTTTTTTTTATTTTAAAAAATTTTATTTTTATTTTTGTTTTTATTTTTTTCAGTTTGGAGTTTTACCTACCATATAATGTTGGATCTCTCTGTGTCCCCTAATATATTGGAATAACTTTTTTCTTGGACGCCACAATACTCAAACTTCTTTCTTTTTACCACTCTGTTTCTGTGAATGTAGATGATAGCCTGAAATTAATTTATTTGAAATTGTAAAATGCGCTAGCTTATTGGTTCAAGAAATTATTTCTTCTAGCTGTTGAAGGTCATGAAATGTTTTTAACAACTTTGGCAATTGACATGACAAGTGGTTACAAAGTGTAGAAAAGATGTATTTTTCGGTTCCAAGGTTGCACAATCCATCCTGTCAAAAATTGTCTGTTTTTATCTTTGTAATGAGTCATTTTGAATCTAATGAGAGATGTGGTCCTGTAGTTTTTAAAAGCTCAAGATGCTGAAGCATCTACTTATCTATATGCAGTACAGTGTACACATAAGAATATAGAAGATAATTACGAATTCGAACTTTTGTCAAAGCGATACTTTAAAACCCCAGTTTAAACATCCAACTTTGACAAAGACAACATACAGATTGGACTTAATAGTTAAGAAATTGGGTAGGAAGAAAATGGTCTAAAGCACTACTCACATGACACATACCTATTTATCGTCCCATATCAACATGTATCCTTAATAGAGTAAGGGCAGGTGATGGTATATGCAACTAAGGGTCAATTAACCAAAAAAAAAAAAAGCATAACAACAAGTTCACACAGTCGTACTAGTTCATACTGTTTTTATTCCTTACGAACCGTCCTATATTCAGGTTTATATTTTCTAGAAAATTCTGCAGAGCAGCGAGTCATTCATGTCAATTCTAATCTAACACTGCATATGTCTCACTAGTGACCATCGTAGCCCCCAGAAGGGAAGAGGGTGCAAGAGGCCTTTGAAAAAAGAAACAGGAGTTGTAAATGCCGTAGTATTACATTGCACCTAATAATGCTCCTGGCATTCGGGGTAAAAGTAAAAATGCGAAGATATTCAGATGCTTAACCACCTAATAGTCTGTCTAGAAGAAGTTATACTAGCAACTAGTAACAAACCAGATTTGTTATATCAATTATTTTCACTAAACTCTTGTTGCTTTGACTAACTTTCAAGATAGACCTTCATCACAACAACAACAACAAAAAAGGAGGACCATAATTTACGGTGCAAAAAAAAGAGTTTTGAGTTAGATCTTGTTCCGTCAACGTTATCCTATATACTAAGGGACACAAGGGTGAGAAGCTTTGATATCTGATAGCTAGCACCCCTATCAAAGCAAGTAGTTAAAACCAGCTTCTAAAATTCACACAATTTTAATTTGAGGCTTACAACACACGGTAAATAGTAGTACCTCCTGTCTTACCAACAGGATATCGCGCAACATCAGGCAAGGGAACAAAGAAAGGGTACCCTTGTCTAACTGAATTTTGAGGATCAGCTGAAGAGAGAGAGAGAGAGAGAGAGAGAGAGAGAGAGAGAGAGAGAGATAGAGAGAGAGAGAGAGAGAGAGAGAGAGAGAGAGAGAGAGAGAGAGAGAGAGATCTCTTT